TGAATAGACTTTTAAAGCTTTTCAAACTTTAAAAACTTTTCCCTTCCAAAAGAGTTGATCTATTAATCTTTAGAGAGATTTATAGATGCACAGCGGAAGTTTTTACCCTCTATGTAATAAGTGTATAACTACTTTCTATTTTGGGAGAAACATGGACTTGAACAACTAGCAGTTGGCTTGGCAGTTGGCTATATGGCAGGGAACTGCTGAGGCAATTGATTAGGAAATATTTAGTGTTTGATGAAAGTGATGAAGATCAGTTTATAGGAATGATGAGGGAACTTTTTGAAGATCTGGTTTAGTAAGGATAAACAATAGTTTTGCTCGAGCAGTGGGCTCAGCAGTTGGCTGGTCACCAGGGGACTGCTGAGGCAACTGCTATAATTAGAAGATGAATTTCTTTTATTTAATAGAACATGCCTTTTAGTGATATTGATGCACGTCTCTTGTGTGAAAGGTGGTCTCAAAGAAAGTGAGTAATTAAGCAGTAGGATAAGCAGTTGGGCCAATTAAGACAACTGCTTAGGATGCTGTTGGCAAACTACAATCTTTATGTGAGAAGTGTTGGGTTTGTGCTTTGTTGAATAAAATAAAATCAACACACGATGTATCCTAGTTCAGAGGTGGTGTAATCCTCCTACGTCCAGTCTCACCCTCTTTCAGATGGATTTCCACTAAAGTATTAAGCCCAATACACTTAGTGCCAATCTAGCCTTTACAACACTTAGGCCTAGATTGAAGGTTTTTCACAATGAGTATGACACCACTCAAAGTTACTTAGTCCTTAGACTTTTCTCAGATGATCCAGTGGGGATCAAAAGGTACTCTATCTATCTAACCACACTTCAGGATCCGAACAACTGTTCTCCTAAGTGTTTACAACACTTTGTGAAATGTTTACAAGAAAGTTCTAACCTCCAACTATGAACTAAACTTCTATGATTTATCAATGAATACTTGAAAACTGGAAGTTTAGTGAAGCATGAGTCCAAGCATAGAGTAAAGTTGAGTTCGCACTTTCTCTTTTGCTAGATAGCTCGTATATGCTTTTATGGTAGTATTTCTCTATTTAGGATGCTCAAATGTAGCACTTGAGATTTAATTTAAATGGATTAATAGTACTACTCATACCAACAGAGGTGCATCTCCTTTTAAGGGAGCTCATCACCCAAGAACTCCAAAGTTAAGCGTGCTTGCACGGGAGTAGTCTTAGGATGGGTGACCCCCTGGGAAGTTTCTCAGGACGCGCATGAGTGAGGACAAAGTGCGCGGTAAAGGCTTGTGGTGGTTTGTGAGGACAGTACTATTGGTCCGAAGTAACTACCTCGGGTCCTGCGGAGCCGGGGTGTTACATCAAGCTTGTTTCGAAACTCTCGTTTCAGCCTGTATTTATAGGCTACTTCAGTTGATTAATCTCATCCGTTGGTTATGATAGATTAATCTTGTGCGTTGAAGGTCTGGCAAGGATGAAGTGTACATTCGTCTTCTTGTGCAGGAGCTTTTAATGCTTTTCTTTTCTTGCCTTGAATAATTGGGCTGCAGCATGGGTGTGTCTTCAGCCGCTGTAGCTTCACTCCAAAAAAGACGTCCCATGCTGAAGGACCTTGATGTCAATTTTGTCTTCAATAATGCAAAGGTGATCGAGTGTTCAATTTTGTGACTGTAATTTTTGTGTACTAATAAAATTATACTGGTAGGATTTAAATATCCCTTTTTAATGTAAATAAAGATTACCTTATTGCATTTTATCTTTCCAGCATAATTTTATTAGTCTAAAAAATTGTACATTAATTTTGTCATCAAAAGTGTTGATAATTTTAAATACTAATACTCGAATTAAATTAGACACAATGTACTAGTGCAAAGTATAGTGGCACCATCAAAATCTAACAGAATTGGGTACTAACAATTTACCCCCTTTTGATGATGCCAAAACTATACAACACAAAAAACAAAATATTTTTATTGATTTTCATCCAGGTTTTGTACATTGTTCTAAAGTCTAGAGTAGAATAGTTTATAGTCTCTTTCGGACTCTATCTATTCTACTTTTGTTCTTCTGATTTCTTCTTTGCCTCTTCTTTGACTTTTGCTTCTTCGGCTTTTCTTCTTCTGATCTCACTTTCCTCTTTGTGGGGCATTCTGGATCCCCATGCGCCAACTTGAGGGGGGTATTGGGAGATATTTATTTTTGGGATTAATCTTTTTATTAATAGATGGAATATTATCTCATTAAAACTTACCTTGCTTAGCCTATTTTTTAGGATGACCGATCCAAATTGATCGGCATCATCTCTGTATTTAATCAGCCGAATTGGCTCTTGTTTTGAGATAGAAATTGATCCCTTCTATACTTCTTCTTCTTCCATACGAATACAAAGTTATCATAGTCAAAGATATGATTGATCTATGAGATGAGGGTCTAAAGTGTAACATTCTAAAAAACAAATAAAATATCAACTCACGAAAAAGCCAAGAAGTTCAAAAATCGTGAAATTGAATAAGATCAGAGATAAAATAGTGAATGGACTCATGGAATTTGTATACTCCCTCCGTCCCAATATCAACAACACATTTGCGTTTTTCCAACATCTTTAGGAGGAACACTGTTTGGACACTGTTTCGCACTGTTTGGACATTGTTTGACACTGTTTTGTTTGCAAAAAAGGAAATGTGCCTTTTATATTGGAACGGGCCAAAACGACAAATGTACCTTTTATATTGGGACAAAGAGAGTATATTTGAAAGAGGGTAGCAAAAATAAAATGAGTAAGAGCATGAATTTATATTTCTTCAAACAATTGACCTTTTCCTGCTCATAGCTTTAGGGATTTGGCAGTGATCGAACTGTTCACAGAGGTTCTTTTTCTTTCATGGCTGGTATATTGGTCGCGCATTGCGCGAATGTCATGTGCCCAACTCTCAATTTTAATAAATTGTGTACAATAAATTTACTAAAATGATTTCAACATAAGTATCTATTTAATACGGATTATTTATTTTAGAACTTATTTAATAGGTAGTATAACATTAATTTTCACACAAATAAAAATATATTAATTTTCACAAAAACGTAACCGAGATGTAGTTGAATTGGATGCTTTTCACCGTAAAACACTATGGACATTGATAAATTAATTGAAATGTGGATATTAGAAAAATGAAGAAATTGATTGAAGCAAGAAAACATAATTAAATTTAAGTTTTATATTTAATTTTCATATTCAAAATGCCATTGAAAGTATTGTTGAATATAACAAGTCTAAATTAACTTTAGATAATGGTCATATAAATGTCATCATATAAAGAAACTGAAACCCCTTCTCAAAAAAGAAAAAAGAAAAATAGCAACCGGATCCCACCCCTCGAAACTGAATTGCTTAATGAAGCAAAAATGGATAAAACATAGGAGAATGTTTTGGTTTTATATATCCAAATAAATATATAAAGAAGAGCCTGAAGCTTACATATGTAGCGTACACACATTGCTAGACCTAAAATAAGTAGGACGGAATCTTTATGAAAATATATTACCTAGTACGTACTACTTTTCGTCAAATTTTATGTGTCTTACTTTAGTTTGACACAATTATTAATAAAGTGTATGAAAAAATCCTTTAAAAGGGTGTGGAAAAGTAAAAGTTTTGGTTGAGATTTGAGTAAAATAAAGTAAAATGTTGTAGATTATATTTTTTTTACCAAAAATAAAAATATGAAACTTATTTTGGGAGCATCCAAAAAGAAAAATAGAACTAGTAAAATAAGACGGAGGGAGTATTACAAATTAAAATCATAAAACTCAGCTCATACACAAATGTTCAAGTAGTAATTAAGGAATAATGCTCAAACATTTTAAGAGAGCATAATATCACTTACCTAAAAAGTTGATGATCAATGATGACAAAGAGAAAAAAGTATTTGGTTTTCCTAAAAGAAGTGCTCTAAGAAAGAGAATGCGTCTTCTCTCCTAGGGCTGCGTTGCGCCGCTGGGTTGCCTTCCGAATTCGATCGAGTTGATCGAACTTCGGCTTTTGTTCTTGTTTTTCTCTTTGCTTAGTCCTCGAACATCGTCTTCTCGGCTCGGCCACTGAGTGAAGGAGGTGTTTGTTCTGCTCGCTTGTTTTGTTTTTCGGTTGGGATAGAGTGACGGGAAGAGGATTGTTCCAAAGGCTTGCAGATGGAAGATATTGTTAACAACTACAAGAAGATGGCTATTGGGGAGGCAGATAACGAACTCGGTTTTGATGCAGAAGAAGCCGGTGATGAGGAAGTGACTGATGCACAGATTGGCTTTCCGGTGGTTGGGATGGTGATCTCCGATCGGAAGGTTAATTTGCAGGCGCTTCAGGATGCGATGACTTCAGCTTGGCATCCTGGTAAGGGGGTATCCATCAAGGAAATCGATGAAAAAAGGTATCTCTTTACTTTTAATCATATTTTAGATATGAACCGTGTGCTGGAAGATGGACCTTGGGTGTTTGAGAGAGATTTAGTGTTGTTGAAAACAGTTCAACCAGATGATATCCCTGAAAAATTAATTTTATTTGAAGCAGACTTTTGGGTTCAAGTGCATAATGTTCCTCAAAAATTTAGAAATCTGAATTATGCTAAGCGAATTGGGAATTTTATTGGCTCTTTTATAAAGTTTGATGAAAACAGTTACGGCGACAAAAGGAAATCTTTCTTGAGAATCAGAATCTGTATTGATGTTAGAAAGCCCCTGAAAAAGGGCACTTCTCTGGAAAAAAGAAAGAAAGGGACATTGGGTTGATTTTAAGTATGAGAAACTACCCAATTTCTATTTCATATGTGGGGTGATTGGACATTCGGATAAGTTTTGCTTGTTACGATATGAGGAATGAATTATTATTGAAAAATCTTTTGGAGTTGAGCTTAAGGCAGGGGGAGGAGCAAAAACTACCCTAGCAGTGTAACGCCCCTCTCAGGGTTAAAGGAATCGTTACACTAACTTACTACTTTTAAAAAATAACTGCAATTTACGGCCGTATATTTAAGAAAATAACCCTGATAAAATCTCAAATGTAACTAAAATATAACTCCAAATAAAACTTAATAAAATATAGTTATCACCAACAAATGTGATAACCACCTGGATCCAGGAATTTACTGAACTTCAAATCCTTAAATAAAAAATAAAGTAATATTTATCACTTTATTATAACACTGAAATACTGAAAACAAAATAATATCTAGCTAGAAGCCGCCAAGGTCGTTCCCGTTAACTCATCTTGGCACGCGTTCCACTCTCTCATCATCTTCCTCGGCCTGGGCCTTACCCTTAGCTTTAGAATCTGTACATGCGAGAAAGAAAACTGATAAGCTTTACGCTTAGTAAGTCACTATGGATCCACAAAAATATCTAGAAGTCTATGTCAATTTATCAATAGATAACTTTAGGCCATAAGCCTGCACTGAGCAAATAACTAACACATAACTTCTCAAACACATTCTGAGGGAGATCTCAAAGGAGAATATTTTCTAAAATAATTTCTCAAAACTGTTGGAGAGATCTCAAAATTTCTTCGCAAAACATCTCTGTAAAACTTTCTGAAAGAGATCTCAAAAACAACTTTCTGTAAAACTTTCTGAATGTCATCTCATTAAACTTTCTGTACAACTCTTTGTGGCTAATTTTACTCTGTGGGCCCGTGATATGTACCCAAAGGCGCCAATCCGACAGCTCAGGGGAGCGACCCACTAAACATATCGGACTCTCTGAAACTCTGAAACTCTGATTACTCTGTGGGAACTTGTTCCCGGGTACATATCACTTAATCTTTCACTTTAAATATTAGTTCTTTTATAGTGTCGTTTGGATAACCACATCATTAAATCAGAAAATAAAAATACTGACAAACTCTTGACTATGCCAGATAATAATCACCACTTAATACAACAAATAAAATAACTCAGCAAATAACTCACCAAGTTCACATAATAGCAAATAGACTAAAATCATCTATTAAAAATCAACCAGACTTCTTTCTTTTATTTGGTTGAACAAACATGTACAGGTGGTAGTGAACTTACTTGATAGAAGCTGAACTCAAACTACTCAAACCAGTGTGGCACCTTGATAACGTCTTCCGGTAAGCTCTTCTCTTATATCTTTAACTAAATGAAATTATGAAATAAGAATCGGCTAAGTATGAAAAATGGCCATACTACCGAAGTTTTAATTGTCTGTTTGACATGCCAAAAGCTTTAGAACTGAAAATCCTTTTTCTTTTTCTTGCTGCTACGGAGAGCTAAAGAAAACTGAATCTTAGAACTTAGAAACCTTTTGATTTTTAAACACGTATGTTCCTGGCTCATGAGCAGCAAGGAACCCAAACTAAATATCAAACAAATATAGATCTTAAAATCTGATTTCCTGATCCTTGCACAACCAAAACTTTAAACTCGAACAACACCAATTACAATCCACTAGAAGTTACGTAAGGAGCGATTAATATGAAAACTCAGATTTGCGAACCATTTAAAATCTGAAACGAAGTCTGCACATTTGTACTCAAGTACTGAAAATTCTGATTTACACATACAAGTGGAAAATAAACGGTGAAAACTCATCCAATATAGTAGAAAACTTCAAACTTAGCGGAGAATAGATTTCTTATACTTCAACTGGGTTTTCAAAAGGCTTTACATCATCCTTAAGCCAAACATAATTAGAGGAATAGGCAAAATAAAGAATGGCAAAAACAACCTATGAAAATAGATACCTGAAACCAGTTTATCATAGAGGAAAACAAACTTTCACTTGTTAGAGATCGTAATCCAGAACTCAATCAACAATTTGATTCGGCCAGTTGAAATAGGAGAAGAAATTTGAGAAGGGGAAGTGAGATTCGTTGGGGAGAAAAGGCAGTATGCGGCTGGTATGAAGGAGACTTCATATCTAGGGATTGAGTTTAAAAGAGATTTATTTGGGCTGTAAAGAATTAGGGCTCTTAATATTCTTTTATGGAACTGGTTTTTTTTTTCCCCAAACTAAAAATAATAATTCGTAGTAATATTCTCTATTTCAAATAAACTAATTAAACTGTAGAATAATACTTATTTATTTATTTTAAATTCGGGGAGCTTACCGGTCAACGTTACCTGTCACAAACAAAACATGACAAAATAATAAATCACATTGTTCACAAAAGAAACTTATTTAACTGACTGAAACAATATTGACTAATAAAACTAGCTTACAAAATCGGAGTGTTACAAGCAGGTCCTAATAAGTGGCTTGTACAAGACCCTATAAGCTCCAAGGAAGCTGGACAACAGAGGAAGTGAACTTGAGGAGACGCAGTCGGCTGGGACAAGGGCTAGTGCATCAAAGCAAGTAGAGGGTGATGTGGAAGGGGAACCAGGAGAGACTAAGCGCAGGAGATTATGGGAGGATAAGCTTGAAGAGGATAAAGGGGACGAAGGCATGACGCTTGATGGACCAAAAAATGGGGAGACAGCGGGTCAGACCTCCTAGACCCGCCGGTATTGCAGGGGATGTCTTTGATTAAGATTTTGAGTGCTGGAGTTTATTTCATTCTATGTCTTAGGTTTTATTTCCACTGATTTTCTATTGTGTTTTGTTTTTATTTTTCTGTTATCTGTGAAACTCGTGCATTAGGTTTGGAGGTTGAAAGGTCTGCGGTAGGCGTCGTTAGCTTTAATTTGCCAGAATTCGGTCTAGCGAGTTATATTGCTTTGTTTAAGGTGATTAACTCAGAGTCTCGGCCATGGGCGGATGGTTACATGCGGTCCTTTCACGTTCTTGTACTCCTGCTGATTGATATTTTAATGATATAAGCGTCTTACGATCAAAAATGATGACAAAGAGAGATCAAGATAACTTTTTGAAATCTCAAATATAGTTATACCCATTTGATAAATGTTACGTAGTAAAATATTAAATACATAGTAGTATTGATATGAGAAGCTTCATCTTCTTGAATCAACATATGGAGTTCCTTAATTTTATATCGATAATCGATTTAAATCATTAAATTGAAAAGTAAATGTTGAATAAATTACCAGTTTATCAAAGCACCGGTTACAAAATTTTGACATATATTACAACAAAGAGTAGGAGATTGGTGAATGAAATTGGGGTTGATGATTTTAACATCGCTACACCGTTCACTTGACGGTGCATTTGATAATGTGGAAAGCCAATTAAATGGAACACTTTGATAGCATATGGTACTATCATTCAAAGCCTAGGTTAATTAACAATGAGCATTTAATAGGAAAAGTGGCCTTTATAAGATAGGTTAAGATTAAGATTATTGGACTTTAAGCTCCATGCGAATAACTTGGGCAGGAGTCACTTTTAGTTGACCTCATTTCAAAACCCAAAATTCTGAGAATAACAATATTTTAAATTGCCCATCAAAATACAACAAAGTGAATAGATAACTACCATATCACAAATTCACAATATACTCCACACATTGAAACCATATAGTTCCATCCACAATGAGATATTAAGTGATTATCATACATCTACAAACTATACATCCACTATATTTACATACTGTTTGTCCACTTCAAAAGTGGCGTGAATGGACACGCCATACAATAGATTTTTGTTATTACATATCGTAATCGGGGGCGCAGCTCATCTGGTAGAAAGAGGGTGTCACAAGGGCGTGGCTCCTGATAATTAATGCGCACTTCTCTGAAAGTAGAATAAGGGTTTTGGCATCATCAAAAAGGGGGAAATTGTAAGGAATAATTGTTTTTAGATTTTGATGATGCTAGATTAATTAGAACATTAGAGTAAGCCCATTTTAATTAGAATTTTTCTAATTGTAAGTTTTCTAGAGTAGTTGACTGACAGAAGACCCCCAGGCCCTCTGTTGGCTGTTCACTTGACAGAAGTGCTCATGGTATTCTGTTGAAACTTCCGATGGACAGAAGAGCTCGAGACCCTATGTGTTCTGCTCCTCTGAATTCCTCAACAGAAGACCAAACACTTAGAGAGTTTGCAAGGTACCTCGCCGATGTACCTTAACGGAAGATTCTCTCAACGGTTAGCTCATACTCAACGGAAATGCTACAGGACAACATTTAATGCTCATTTAATGAGCTCTACACTCCGAAGAGTAAAAGATGGTGATTGACCGAGATTCCTAGAAAGCCTGTCCCAAAATAGAAAGCCGCCAAACTTGTGGGCCCAGCCGGTGAAACTCAACAGTACGCGCATTTAATGCAGTTGTCTCCTCCAACGGTAAGACAACCTCTGTATAAAAGATACTACTCGAAGAACAAACGGTGAACTTGGCTATAACTTTTGCTCTCACTACAACAAGAAAAAGCTATCTTGAGATTCAAACTCCATCTCCATCAAACAAGAAAAGCTTACGTTGGAAGCAAAATATTTTCTCTTAATCCTCATACTCCAACAAAGAGCAAAGTTTTTACTGTTCTTCAACACTTCAAGCACCTCATTACAAATCTATTGTGACGAAGTAAGTTGGAGAATATCTTCTGTAAAGAAGGGCGTCTTAAAGTAGCTTGAGTGGTGAAGTGGTGATACTTCAAGGAGACTCAGTTAAACAAGACCAGTCTTAAAGGAAGCAAGGAAGTGCATCCCAGGAGACATCTACACTTGAAGAAGACGCGGAGAGCTTGTTAAGTGATAGGACTAAAGTATTGTAATTGGTTTATTACAATCTTAGTGGAACAATGGATTAGAGGAACGAGTTGTTCCCTAAACCACTATAAAAAGCCCTGGTGTCATTTACTTACTGCTTTTAATTCTTGTTCTATCATTGAACTGCTTAACTCCATAAAAGTGGTATCTGTGTTCAGCAGAACATCTCTAGTGAGTTAACAGAAGGCCTACTGCCTTTGCACCTCTGTGAGGCTATCCCGACAGAACCCCAACCAGAAGACCTCCGTTGCCAGTCTGCTCTCAACAGAATAGGCTATTCTGTTAACCTTGGTACTTAGCTTGAAAAAGATATAAACCATAACAGTCTATTCACCCCCCCCCCCCCCCTCTAGACTGGTATCTCAATAACCGGGACCAACACGGTGGTTACCCGGGCCGGTCCCGGGCCGGTCCCGGGCCCAACCCCAACTCCCAGAAAGCCCGCCAGGCCTAGGGACGACCCGACTCGACCCGGCCTGACCTGGCCCGAATCCACCCCTAGGGAAATCTACTCGAGGCGCCTGGTAATGTTGGCATGATCGGCCTCTATGTTCGGGCTTCTTTTAGAGCCAAAGTGCTCAACAAAGATTGACTGCATCTAAACGGACCAGAATGGCTCATCCACCATAATATGCTCAAATTGAACCTGCTCGAGCGGGATCTGATGAATAGGTTGGGAAGGCTGGATAACCGGATGAGTAACTTCGGGAGCCTGGGATTGTTGGGGCTGGTTGCCTTTCATCTCCCTCTTACCAGCACCACCAACTATATATTCAGACGACTCTGGTCCATAGCTGCATCGGGATTAGGTGTTGAAGGGATTAGCTGCAGACGATCTACTCCCAAGCTCCTCAGAAATGAATAGCTCTGGAAATTCTGGTGGGAAGGCATTCCACCTTTTTGATAATAGGTCGCGCGGGACAGAAACGAAGAAGAACCGGTCTTTCCATCCCTTGATCGAAGTAAAATTTCCTGTGAACACAATCTGGCCCGCTCGGGCAGTAGCGGCACGACAATTGTGGGTCGGTTGGGAGGCAACCTTGAAAAAATAATGGAACAAGTCCAAACTGGGCGGCACGCCGGCATCAATGCAGCGGCAGATGAACCCAGCCATCACCCGGTAGGAGTTCGCATAATTTGGACCGGAACAATTTCGTAATGGTTTAGGAATGTAACAAGGAAGGGGTGCAACGGGAATTTAACCTAACTTTTATAGAACCAAAGTGAACCACCACCATTCCTGGCGGTGGCGCATCAGGTAAAGCCCATCCTGGAGGCGGAAGTCCACTGGTCTCAGATTAAAAGTGGAATTTGGGCCCTATTGTGGGAGGTGAGTTTTTGCTGCCTCCTCCTAATTAGGTCTAAGTTCGGTTTATGACGAGGTAAGTCATCCGGGGGACCAGCCGCCACAAAATCCATGTCGTCGCCGGATTTGGCATCATCAGAATCGCTGCCAGAAGAAGAATCGCCACCCGTGTTTTTGGCGGCGGTGCTGGTACCAGCTGCAGTGTCAGCGGTTACATCAGCTGCAGCACCCTGGACCGCCTCATTAACTGTGGGGTCCGAACCAGAGGCAGAAGGAGAACCAGAGGATCCAAGGGTTTTAGACATGTCGGCCAAACGAAGAATTGAAAGAAGAAGGAAGCAGAAAGAGGTCGGGAAAATAACTTAACAAGTGTCGGGGTAGGGTTTAGAAGAAAGGCATAACAATGGATCGAAGCAGCAAAAATTAGAAACCCAGAACCGGAGGCGCAAGAGCCTGATTTATAGGCTAACAATGTCGTTTCACCATCCAATGAGGAAAATACATGTCACGAGGAGCGGTTTCTGGGGCACATGTCGTTTGAAGGTAAAATGGCGAGTAATCATTGCGTTTCTAGGGAACCCAACCAACAGCCGTAAAAAACCGTCAAAATCTGTGCATCGGGAAACAGCAAGAACCCTTTTGAAAACATCCAGATCGACATCAAGTTAATTTTTCTACTTCCTTATGCCCTCACCCCGTTTGAGACATCGGAAGTGAGGGGACTTGTGTTGGGATATTGGGGTTCGGAACAATACCCGATCCAAGGTAGCTTGAGGGCCCAATTGAAAGAGCAAGCCCAACGGGAACCCGACCCATCCTTACAAGACCCCGAATGGGGATAGGCAGTCAACAGAGATGCTGCCCGACACATCCCGAACGACAGATATACCATACTTGGAACAAATGTCGACATTATCTCTGCCCTCTTACATAATGAAGCACAGGGGCCGCTCGAGAAGCGTGCAAATGGCAAGCTGCATTAAATGCTACTGTATGACAGTGACAAGTGGAGGCATGGGTGTTCACGTTACAAAGGAGGCGTCCAATAGGATTCGGCCACATCATCTCCACCTACCCCCTCCTAGCATAAATAGAGGCATTTACTTCATTGGAAGGGGTTAGCATCTTGATACTCATGAGCCTTAGGTTATCTCTCCAGTTCTTGTATTAGCAGCTATACCAAAGTGTCGTTCAATCATTTCTGTGTAATCTTGTTATTAACTCAATACAAGTACGCTTTTGAGTGCATTTTTAGTTAAATCTCTTTCCCTAATCGTTTTACAGTAAATCATCCTTAAATATCCTAAGGTTGGTGTTGGACCTTCGAATCTACGGGACTTAAATTCAACAACACTACTTTATAAAAAAATGAGAATTTAAAAAACACCGATCACCCCGTGCGGATGCTTGTGTACTATACTGGATTGAAGATTTTAATACATGATAATGAAGGAAAATCAAAGAGGTTTTTCCAAAATCTCTAATACATGTGTTTAATATATTACGTTTAATATTTATTTTATTAACTTACCCTTTACACTTTATGATATTGACTTATTTTACTCGCTTTTAAGAACAATGCTAATTTTTCAAAATTAGTCTCTTTTGTGATTAATTAGATCATGATTACAAACATATTCGTGGATTATTCTCGTGCGTATGCACAGGTACTGTACTAGCTTTTACAAAATCCAAATAATGTTTTTTGGCAAAGTAGTTCCATGAAGTGCCAACAATTATAAGCATGCATGTCTTTGTAGCCTTGTAGATCGATATTAACAAAATCAAATGCATTAAAGAAAATTTAAGGTGCCCTCACAATAGGTCATGTTTTGGAGGAAATTTTAATTTAGTTCCTAAAAATTAGAGTATATATCACTACCGGCTTAATGTTAAATTCATCCGCTCCATAACAGGGTCATTCTGCATAACTATTCTCTGTCTGGCTTTGCTAGAGAGCAACTCTGAAGAAATAGGAAATCCAATAAGTTAATCCAATAAGTTAATACGAATAATTATATAATACAAGTAATCGCCCAGTCAGGTATATCTGATCATAGTCATTTTGTTAGGAAATCCACCTCGTTTTGGGTGGTTCCCGGTGATATTTTTGTTGACCATTTGTGTACATATTTCCCATGAAGTGTAAATTATGTCCACCTAATTCCAACAAGAAATGTACTTCGTAATAAGGAAAGCAGACAAATAATTTTTTGATGATATTTGCGCTAAAATATACGTTTAAAACACAGTTATTTTCAAAAATTTATTTGACTATCTTTCCAATTGATTTTTTTGTTGATATTTGTTAGACATAATCTACATTTAGTGGATACAAAAAACTCTGATTATGCACACAAAATTTCAACAAAAACATGCCACTAGAAACCAGATCCGGTCATGAGGGTGGTAGCCTAGATATTTTTCTAAGGTCTCCAAATTTTCAGGGCCCCCATTTTTAAAAACATATATACATGCAATTTTTCATTTAATTAATTGAATTACTTAAAAAGTACTCAGTAGTCTAGAACTAGAGTTACGTTGATGAAAAATATAAAATTATGACAAATATATGAACCAAATTAATAAGAGTGAACAAAATATGTTTTTTATACTTTAGTAACTACTATTATAAGAGAAACTAATTTAGTATCTTTGAGTAACTTTGGTGATTATGATTGTGACCATGATTGTGTTACCTAAAATGTATATGCATAGTAACTAATAAGTACATTAATACTACATTCGTCTAGTTCAAAGGTTCTCATCTCAAAATGACAAACTTATTTAGACAATAATTAAATATGCTAATTCGATTATATTTTGAGAAATAGTTTTGATGGGTATACATTATAATCGGTTACTGGTGATAAATGTGATGTTATAAATGTATTTTCTTAAAATGTTTTATGATTAAATTGCCATTTAATTGTTTCATAAAATGGAAATTGAAACCTTTACGTGGGACGTTCAAAAAAAGAAGTGAAAACATTTGATATATGTTCACTATAAAGTCATATAGCACACGTGATAGTATAAAAATCATTCATTTATGTAGTAGGGTCCACTATAAATTCACTATAAAAATAATGATTGTTATGAGGTCACATGGGTTATATGATTCCATAGTAGAGTCATATTGGGTTCTATAATTTTTTTTGATATAGTTTATGTGATTCTAAATCATACTTACTTTTTCAAACTTTACCAATTCAATATCAACCACATAAACTCATTTTTCTTAATAACTGCACACTTTCTCATATTCTAATGTAAGTATCTCATAAGTAAATATTACTTAGTACTATTGTATTTGGTTGTTTAGGGACTCAATATTATTTAGGGGTGGGATCGATCTGGGTCAGGTTTTTGTTAAATCTGTAAATTACCTATAAGGTTTCGGGTTATTATAATTAAAAACCGGAACAAAGCCCACACTATATTCGGTCCGAGACGGGTTTTTGGTAGCCCGGGTTCGGTCCGGGTTGAGCCCGTTAAAATCCGAGCGTGAAATCATCTATTTCTTCTTTATATGTTAAAATCTATTTTCAAATAAAACTAATAAAAAATACAAACCACAAATAGTAACACAAATATTAGTCTCCAAAATCACCAATAATTCAAATCCAAATAAGATAATTATCTTAATATTTTATTTAATATGCATATAACTAATACAGGTTTTCTAAAAATATTACAAGATACGGAGTAAAATTTATGGATAAAAATGTGACTAAAGATACTATAAATATATTTTCATGATCATTATGGTATACAAAATTGAACATATTTGTAGTCACTAAAAGTTGTTAAGTCATTTTTCATCCACCATGATTATAATCACATATTAGGACTTATTTATAAATTAGATTCATATATTATATTGATTGTATATTAAATTTAATTGTTTCAGGTTTAAGTCAGTCCAGGCCGAGTTATAGATTTAGAGCCCGTTTATGAGCCTGGATGTTTGGGTTCGGTCCAGGTTTTTGTTAATTAGGGCAGTTAAAAAGAAAAAATTTTGACCGAGAACATCATTTTCGGTATACCTCTCAAAAATATTTGTGTGTGCTCCTTTGGAAAAAAAAATATGCTTATTACATTACCTCCTTTGTCGCGTAATAGTACTCTAGAAAAATTGACGAACAGTGTGTAGGACCCATCTGTAGCTTTCCAATCCCCTTATCACCCCAGTTTTCGCCGTACGAATTTCGAACCACCCAAAACTTCTTTCCATGCTCTTCCCCCCAGTCTACGATCACCACACAGTGAAGGTTTTGCTCCTTTTCTGCTCTAGGAACTTCTACAGTGTATATTCCTTTCCCCTATATTTAATATAAATTAATTAAGAATTTTTTAAAGAATATATATAAATAATATAATATTTACATGAACAATTTTAAGATAATAAATAGGATTTACCATGAACTTGAGGAAATTTGGTGTTGAGTCTAATACACCCACTATTGGTTGGTGTTGTAAATCACTCAGAAGGGTTTTCTCATTCACCTTTTCTTTACTTTCAAACTTGGCAATGAATAAACAGTCATACTGAAAAAAACAATTGGAATGTTAATAAATCATCGGGTTTATTGTTGTTGACAAATCGTAATATACAATAAGGTGTACATGTATCACCCAAAAAAAAAGGTGTACATCAGTACATGTAGTATAATCTTTAATATTTAATGTTTGAGGAAATATTTTAGTATTTAATTTTATATTTATGAGAATTAATAATGAATTTAATTTTACAATTTGGGAATTTATTTATATACTCCCTTCTTCCCATATTGATTTGAATAGTCTATATGTTGTTTTCAACCAATGCTAAGGTAGACTCCTCCCTATTAATAAATAATTCAATTCTTTATAATTAAAATTGAAATATTCATAAACAACATTAAATTCTATACAAAGTTGCAAAATATAAACAAAAATATAATTAAAAATTGTTATGCTAATTAAGTGAACAGAGTGAAATTGTTTGATAAAAAATGTTGACTTTGCAAATCATTTTTGGATGATGTATTAATTAATTCATTTGTACTATTATTCCTTTATGACCAAGTTCATGTAACAGTAGTTAGAGAAGATAGGATTATTGGACTATCTCCAAGTTAAATGAAATTTATTCTAGAACTTACCTTGTGTCTTTGATTCGCAAGTCTTTTCACTTCTTTGCGACTAGATCTGTTCTCAACCGTGTACGGACAATATCGCCTTTGAGCTATTCCTTTCACTTGTACATTCTTGTAAGCTTTGTTTATCCGTGTGGCCAGCTTCCTATCACTGCTGTCACGTGCCTTCTTATGTGTGTCTTTATCACCATATAATTGGTAAACAATGTCGTCAAAAGAGAGCTCGACTTCTTGATCTCCAGAGTTGAACGTTCCCTCAAGTGAATGTGCTAGGGCAATTGCCCAGCAAATATCTAATTGCATTTAAGATGTGTATTAGCAATTAAATTAACAAAAATGTTCGACAATGTTAATTCAGTCATTGCTAAGGATGTTATTTTGCTTGAATGTTCGAGAAAAACATTTAGTATTAGCAATACTAAACGTTCGAACAAAATTTTCAAAGCATATGTATGGTATGATATACTACCTCCGTCCCAAAAACAACTTCCCACTTTCCTTAAATGGATGTCCCAAAATTAACTTCACACTTCAATACTTTCCTTATTTAGCAAATTATCTACATAAAAAAAGTGATAAACAGTGCCAAACAGTGTTTAAACAGTGCCAAACAGTGTTTAAACAATGCCAAACAGTGTTTAAACAGTGCAACACAGTGCACTCTACAGTAAAGTCAAATTTATTTTCTTAATCTGTGTGATTGTCAAACTGTGAAGTTGTTTTTGGGACGGAGGGAGTATTTGATAAGTATGAATTTTGAAAGATTATCCTAACATTAATGCACATCTTTATCTTTATATAATATAATAAAGTAATAAAGTTGGGGCAAGAATTGGAGGGAAAAATGCCGCCCAAAATAAGGGCAAAATTGGAAATTAATGAGAAAAGTAAATTTGGTAAATAATTATATTAGATAAGCAATTCGGAAATGATGCACGTAGGTAAAGTAATGTAAAAGTTCATTATTTAGAAATAATTTGGTTTCCTTAGTAAATGTAGATATATATGAGATTATGTCTAAAATAATACTAAAAAAAGCGCAAATTATACCGTGCAACCGGCATACCATGAGCATGGTATGCCGGTCCTAACACGGTGTCGTTTCCCCCCTCCCTAAACTCATTACGGAAGCTTTCTTTTTCCTCCGGTTAGTGCTTTCTTTCTTTTTCCTCCGGTTAGTGTTTTCTTTCTTTTTCATCCCGTTAGTGCTTTCTTTCTTTATTTCTTTATCTTTAACTAATTAAAATACAATTGAATTTACATTTTTTATTTACATTATTTTTACAAAATTTTATTAATCCACATAAATAAGTATATTTTATTTCATAATTCTTTTCTATTTTTTTTTATTCTTTATCAATGCATACCAAAAAAATTATTAATCTAAATAAAATAAGTATATTGCAATTAATATTCATACACTATTTTTTTGTATTAATTTTTATATTCATATACTTTTTTTTAATATACTTTTTATATTCATACACTTTTTGTTATATTTTTTATATGACAAACTTTTTATAACTTTTTTTTATCACTTTTATATATTTTTAGAGGTTTTTAAGACATCGAGTTTGTTTATTTTGATTTTTGAAGTTACATTTGATAATATATCATGAAGTTACATCTTCTTCTGCGCGAGTTATATCTTATTGTACGCGAGTTACATCTTAATGTACGCCAGTTACATATTTTTATACGTAAAGTTACATATTTATACACACGAGTTGCATTTGGCCTGCCTGAACGCGAGTTACATATTTTTACACGTAAAGTTACATATTTTTGCACGTAAAGTTACATATTTATACACGCGAGTTACACATTTATACACACGAGTTGTATTTGACCTGTCTGAACGCGAGTTACATATTTTTACACGTAAAGTTACATATTTTTACATGTAGAGTTACATATTTATACACACGAGTTGCATTCTGCCTGCCTGAACGTGAGTTACATATTTCTACATGTAAAATTACATATTTGACATAGGTTAATATAATAGTTCGATAATATATTAAAATTACATAGGCAATATTGGTCTCATTTGAAAGATCAGGAAAAATAAAAAAATTTGGTATAAATTTTATAAAAACCAGATTACAAATGAAAAATTTATTATAGTTTTTAACAATAAGAGAAATAAATAAATAATAAGACTCACTATCATTTTAATACATGTTTCATGCGGAGCTTCCAAAGATTCCTAAAACCGTATGCCGGTATACGGTGCTCACCGTATACCGGTCATACGGTATAACAACTGTAAAAAAAGACATGTGGACAAAAAAGGGACCTTTTTTCACTTTCCAAAAATAGAACTAAATAAGGATTAAGAGACTTTTCGGTTTGACGGCCGACATCCCCTGGCCCCTGATGTATTAGTTTCCTCCAGGCCCACTACGATCTTGGACTATTGCACTACTTCATTCATGTATTGTTCTCTAATTCTCTTTATGCTCGTAGCTAGACAATCACCAATCACCATGTAATTCCAAAACTTTGCTCCTCAAATTAATAAAATATTGTGTTTAAGTGAAAAAAAATCTCATCCATTAGTGCTCCTGTGTAATCACAAGGACCAATGACCAAATTCCGCCAAAAATTATTAGTGACCAAAAATCAAAATTCCGCCAAGTGACAACCATCCGCCCGTCCAGTGACCAGCGTCCGCCCGCACAGTTACACTTACCCGACCCATCCAGTTACAGTTACCCAATCTGTCCAGTTACAATTACTCGACCCGTCCAGTAACAGTTACCCAATCTGTCCAGTTACAATTACCAGACCGTCCAGATACAGTTACCCGATGCGTCCAGTTACAGTTACCCGACACGTCCAGTTACAGTTACCTCACACGTCCAGTTACAGTTACCCGACCCGTCCAGTTACATTTACCCGATCCGTCCATTTACAGTTACCTCACACGTCCAGTTACAGTTACCTCACACGCCCAGTTACAGTTACCCGACCCGACCATGACCAATGGGACCATGACCAAACCGATCATGACCAATCCGACCATGCTCAATGCGACCATGACCAACCCGATCATGTCCAATGCAACCATGACCAATCCGACCATGACCAACCCGACCATGACCGATGCGACCATGCCCAATCGATCATGACCAATCTGACCATGACCAATGCGACCATGACCAACCAAATTATTGACCACGACCAATTCAACACTGACACGACCGCCCCCCGCCCACCGTTGCCCAGACCACCACCATCCCCGACCACCACCTCCCTTGAACACCACATTGACCACCGTTTCCGTCCGATGGGGGTCTCTACCGCCACATGGCGGTGACTGCCGCCACCAACCCAACAACCGACCGTGACCTGCCCGACAAATGACCAATCCACAGTTACCATGACCAAATTCAACTAGTGAACAACGCAACCACTGCCGCACCCGACCACCCGACCCCCGCCTCCCCGATCACCCCCCAACCACCGCCGTCCCAGACAACCATCGCGCGAGCCTGGTGACGGCCGTCACTGCCACTGCCCCTGCCGCTGCCCCGAAAGTACACCCTCCAGCACCAGCCTCCTCCACTACACCAGCCTCTCGCAACCCCTTAACCTCCAACCCTACCTTCCACCGCCGCTAGATCTGGACCAGGATATGGATCTCCGATGGTCGCCGTCGCCAACCGTCTCTAGTCTCAACTCCTCGTCGCCTGCCTCCAATAGTCGGCCATCGCGGATTGCTGCAGTGCAACGAAGAAGGTGACAGATCTTCTCCATTCCTGAAAAGAATCGAGAAGAAGAATAGAGATCTATAGTATCCTGGCGAAGGTTCGGCGACAACAGTAACACAGGTGCTCGGCGACGGCTCGGCGACGATGGTAGCACAGGTGCTTGGAGACAACCTCGGCGATGACGATTTGTCCAACTAGAGGAGAAGGTAATGGATGCTATTCAATCTTTACATGCTAGTCTTGAGAACATGCGTGAAGAGTTGGCCTTGTGCAAGAAGGCTGCGGCTAGTGGTGGAGCAACCATAAACCTCACCAACACGCCGAAGGTTGACTGTCCGAAGCCGTCAAAGTTCCATGGGGTCCGAGATGCCAAAGAAGTCGAGAACTACTTGTGGCAAATGGAACAATATTTCGACAACCTTAACCTTGAGGACGAGACGGCGAAAATCAAGACGGCCACATCTTATTTGGTAGATACGGCAATGCTATGGTGGCGAAGGAGGCATGCGGATATAGAGCGAGGCGTGGCACGGATTGACACGTGGGACGACTTCAAGAGAGAGTTGAAGAGACATTTCTACCCGGAGAACGTCGTCTTTGAGGCCCGCAAGAAGCTAAGGGAGTTAAAGCAAAGAGGTAAGATTCGTGACTACATAAGAGACTTTACAACCCTTATGCTCCAAATCCCCAACTTGTCCCAAGAGGATCTACTTTTCTACTTCGTTGATGGGTTGCAAAGTTGGGCTAAACAAGAGGTGCAACGGCGGAGTGTCCAAACAGTGGACGAAGCCATTGCCGCCGCCGAATCCTTGACGGACTCCCAACACCATAGCTATGGGGAGGCATCCAAGAGAAAAGATAAGAACCCCGTCAAAGGTGGGGGAGAGCGGCATGACAACGTGGGCAGGGAGAACTCACGGAAACCGTCCTTCAAGAGGGGGGACAAGAGCTTGGGACGTGAGGAATATGAGGCCAAGAAGAAGTCTTTTGTACCGAAGGGAGGGTGCTTCGTGTGCAAGAGACCACACACCATGAAGGACTGTCCTAAGCTAGGTTCATTGTCTGCCATAGTCGAGAGACAAGAAGCGGAGGCCCAAGAGGAGGAGACGAGCATGATGGGATCACTTCAAATCCTCAATGCTCTCAAGGCGAAGCCGATGCCGAAGACGACAAGCAAGGGGCTCATGTACGTCGAGGCATACATCAATGGGAAGCCAACAAGGGCGTTGGTGGACACGGGCGCGACGCATAACTTCATAAATGAGGAGGAGGCCAAGAGGGTTGGTCTTCAATGGACAAAGGGCATGGGTTGGCTGAAGACGGTGAATGCGAAGGCGCAACCCCTACATGGCGTAGCACGAGGAGTGGATCTACGTCTAGGCACTTGGAGGGGCCAAGTGGACTTTACGGTGGCACCATTGGACGACTACAAGGTTGTTCTAGGGATGGACTTCCTAAGGCAGGTAACCGCTATCCCTATGCCATCTTTCAACACAGTTTGTATCCTTGAGAAGGATTCCCCGTGCATGGTGCCGACATTGGAGATTCCCAATGAGCGGCCACGTGGAGTGTAACAC